GATTTACTCAATCCAAGGCTGATTATTCTCTCTTTACAAAAGGTTCAGGGCCTAATTTCATAGGGCTACTGGTCTATGTTGATGACATAGTCATCACTGGACCAAACTTACAAGTAATCAATGAGTTAAAGGAGTTTCTGAATTCCCAGTTTAAGCTAAAGGACTTGGGAGCTCTAAAATATTTTTTGGGCATTGAAGTTGCTCGAGCTACTTCCGGCATAGTTATTTCACAAAGGAACTACACTTTGCAGTTAATTGAAGATGCAGGCTACTTAGACTGTAAAATTGCTACCAGTCCTATGGATTCAAGAATTAAGCTCAGCTTGCATGAAGGGGTTTTATTACCAGATGCATCACATTACAGAAAGTTGATTGGGAGACTGATATACCTAAACCTCACTAGGCCAGACATCACATTCACAGTACACAAATTAAGTCAGTATATGTCCCAGCCAAGGCTTCCTCACCTCAAGGCTGTTCACCATTTACTTCGATACTTGAAGGGAAGTGTTGGTCAAGGAATTTGTTTTTCTTCAGCTCGTATTACACCTATCAAAATTCGAGCCTTTTCTGATGCTGACTGGGGATCGTGCATTGACACCAGGAAGTCTACTACCAGTTTTTGCATATTTGTTGGTGACTCGTTGGTTGCTTGGAAATCTAAACGACNCATTGACACCAGGAAGTCTACTACCGGTTTTTGCATATTTGTTGGTGACTCATTGGTTGCTTGGAAATCTAAACGACAATCTACCATTTCACGATCATCTACAGAGGCAGAATACAGAGCCCTTGCAGCCACTACAAGTGAGATCATATGGATTAAACAATTGCTGGCAGATTTCCAGGTTGCTGATGATTATCCTGCCATGATATACTGTGATAATCTCGCTGCCATCCAGATTGCCAACAATCCTATTTTCCACGAGCGGACGAAACATATAGAAATCGATTGCCATTTCATTCGGGATAAGATCACAGATGGAGCAGTAAAGTTGCTTCCTATCCGGTCACAGCACCAGCTCGCTGATGCCTTTACTAAGGCTTTACCTGCGTCAATTCTCAGTCCATTGATGGTCAAGATGTGTGTGAAGAATGTTTATAGCACATCTTGAGGGGGCGTATTATGACCATATTTTAGGAAAGTTGAAAGTTTGTTAGTTTGTTAGCCAGCTGGACTCTTCTCCTCTTTCCCGCCTTTTCTTTCCTGCCTATTTATTGTATTGTTGGTTCCATTTTTCATTGAGATGAATAATATCTTCTAATTCAATTCTTCATTCTTTCAATTGTAATA